CAGCAGCTCAAGGAAATTAATATTCCTAGAACAAGTAAAGAGATTGAATTAGTTATTTTTAAACTTCCATCAAAGAAAAACCCATGACCAGATATCTTCACAGATGATTTCTACCAGATATTTAAAGAATACATACCAATTCTTCACAAATTTTCCAAATTATAAGAGGAAAGAAGCACAAATGGCCAATAAACATATGAAAAAAATGTTCAAAATCACTGGCCACTAGAAAGATGCAAATTAAACCAACACTCAGATTTCATCTTACATTAGGAAGAATGGCAATCATCAAGGAATCAAATAATAAATGCTGTTGTGGCTGTGGTGAAAAAGGAATCTTTTGATGGGAATGTAAACTAATACAGTACAACACTTACAGAAATCAGTATGAAGATTTCTCAAAAAACCTAAAACTAGAAATTCCATTTGACCCAGCTATTCCCTTTCTGGGTATCTTCCCAAAGGAGTTAAAGACATTATATTATAGCATGCATACCAATGTTTATAGCAGCACAATTCATAATAGCTAAGTCTTGGAAGCAGCCAATATCAACAATAGCCAACAGATCAAAGGATAAAGAAATTACATCTATTACTATTTGGCTATAAAGAACAAATTTGAGAAGTTTGTAGGAAAATGGATTCCACTGGATAACATTGTTAAATGAAATAAATCAGACACAAGCTTAAATACTATATGGTTTCTTTCATATGAATAATGCAAAATACAAATAAAGAGCAAAATAAAAGATTGAATAAAGGAATCAGGGAGATCTTTTGCAAATAGGAAGTGGTCCAAGAGACCAAGGGTTAGAAGAGTGAGGGAGGAGAAGGGGACATAAAAAGATTTAAGAAGCTTCATGTATATGTACAAAATACTCACAATGAATGTAATCGTTGTTGCAAATATGAAATAAAAAATAATATGAAAATGAAAGGGGATGTAGAGATGAAAGAAGAGTGGGAAGGGGAATAAAAATAATCAAGATTTGTTAAGTACATGTATGTACTCACTAAGATGAATGTAAACTTTATGTACTGCAGAACATGCACTAAAAAAATAAAACACAAAGACATCATATTAATAGCAAACTCAGGCCAGGGTTTAGCTTATTGGTTCCACCGCTTGCCTTGCAAGCACAAGGTCCCAAGTTTGATCCCTGGTGCCAAAAAAAAAAAAAAGCAAACTGAACAGCTTTCACCTAAGAACAGAAACAAGACTGCATACTCACCACTTCCATTTAACATTGTTTAGGAGGTTCTAACCAAGGCACTTAGGCAATAAAAAGAAATCAAAGTCATCCAGACATCAAAAAAAGAAAATTATCTCTGTTTATAGATGGTCTACAGAACACTATTAAAGTTAATAAATGAATTCAAAGTCTAGAATACACATTGCAGTGTAATTCTAGAAACTAAGCAGTAGAAAATACAAACGTGATTAAGAAAGTTCCATTTATAGTAGCATCACAAAGAAGAAAATACTTAAATTTAAGAAATGTAAAAATTGCACACTATAAACTACAGAACATTGTTGACAGAAAGCAAATACATAAGACATCCCATGTTTGTGGATCAGAAAAATTTAATATTAAGATGACATTACCCCCCAACTTGATAAACTGATTTGGTGCATTCTCCCATCAGAATCCCAGTTGATGACTTTGTAGAGATGGACCAGCTGATCCTAAAACTTACATGAAAATTCAGGAGACCCCCTAGTAGCCAAATTAACCTTGCAAAAGAATAAACTGAACAATTCACACCCAATTTAAAAACTTTATACCAAACTACAATGGTAAAAAATAGGGTGGTGCTGGCATGAAAACATAACAAGGAATAGAACTGAGTTCCAGATTTAAAAGTTATGGTCAAGGATTTTTGACAAGGATCCCAGAATAATCCTATAGGGAAAAGAATCTAAACATACAAAAAGTGCTAGAATAAATGATTACTTGAAAGAGAATGGAGTTAGACATTGCCTGTATAGCATATACAAAAATTGACATGGACCATACACCTAAAAGTTAGCCATACAAGTATAAAACTCTTAAAACATAGGAATAAATCTTCATGACCTTGAGTTAGCCACATCTTTTAGATATAACACCAAAAACATAAGTGATCCAAGAAAACAAATTTGAATTCATTAAAATTATAAACTTGTACTACTAACAGTGCCATAAATTAAGTAATGAGAAAGCTCACAGGATGGGAGAAGATATTTGCAAATCATATACTTAATAGGGTACTTTTATCAGAATATATCAGGAATTCTTGCAGTGCAGGCCCGGCATGATGGTGCATGCCTGCAATCCCAGCACTTGAGAGTCTGAGGCAGGAGTATCACTGAGTTTGAGGCCAACCTGAACTATATAGCAAGCCCCTGTCTCAAAAAAAAATTACAACTCAACAACAGATAACCCAGTTTTAAAATGAGCAAAGAATTTAAACAGATACTTCTCCAAAGAATGTATTCATGTGATCACTAAGCATCCTCAGTCATCAGGAAAATACAAATTTAAACCATGAGATACCACTTCTCATCTACTAAGATGACTATAATCAGAAAAATAAGTTCATCAATAGGTGGAGAAATTGGAACCCTCATACATTGCTGTTGGGAATATAAAGTGGCACAGCTGCTCTAGAAGATGGTTTGATACCACCTCAGAATGTTAAACATAGATAACATGATCCAGAAGTTCTGTTCCCAATATATATCCAAGAAAAATGAAAATACATATCCACACAAAAATTTGTACAATTAATAGTGTTACTTACTCATGTAATAGCCAGAATGTGGAAACAGCCCAAATGTTGAACAGATGAATGGATAAATAAAACGTGGCATATTCATACAAAGGAATGTTCATCTGCCAATAAAAGCAAGTAAGTACTGATAAATGCTATAATACATAAATACCTTGAAAACAGGAGGAAAAAAAAGTTGCATTAAAACACATATTCTGTTTACGTGAAATGTACAGAATAGACATCGTTTCTCGGCCTTTTGGCTAAGATCAAGTGCAGAATAGACATCCCATACAAAGGTAGTATAAGTGGTATATTGGCTGCCAAGAGTTGGGTGCAGGTTGGGGTATGGGGGTTGAGTATCATTGGCTACAGCGTTTCTTTTGGGTGTAAGAAAATGTTCTCAAATTAGATTCCGGTGATAGTGATTTACAAATTAAATAAAAACCATTGAATTTTATATTAGGTGGGTAAACTGTAAGGTGGGTCAATTATGTCTCAGGCAAAGTGTCTAAAAGCAAAACAAGTATTTGTGACTATAATTGATGCAAATCAACTAAAGTGATCTGTATATTTCAGAATCCAGGTTGATAGGATTGGTAATTACTTGATTCAAGAAAGAATATGTGAATACCTGCTTAGAAAGTGCTCTGCAGGTTGCTTAGTTGTGTTGCTTCAGATTAGAAGGTGGCCCCAAAACCACATTAAACTAAGTTTTAAATACTGTATAGATAAGTTCAGTATCTTACTTGAACTGATTGTTGAACAAAGAAATTAAGTACAAGTACATTTTATGTCACATAATGTCTAACTTTAAAAATCAGTAAACAAGGGCTGGGGATTTAGCTCAGTGACACCGCGCCTGCTTCACAAGTGCAAGGTCCTGAGTTTGATCCCTGGTACCAAAAAAAAAAATAAATAAGTAAACAATAAAATGGTACTAAAGTATAGTACAATTAAGGGTTTTATTAGACTCAAATTAATGCCTGTTTCTCATAACTTGTTTCAATCTATATCAAAATTACATTGTTTTATTTATGATTCTTTCTTTAAAAATTACTTTGTTTAGCCTGTTCTTTAGAGACTGTTGGCAAGTAACATTCACAAAGGTTCTCTTGGTTTAAAAGACTTAAAATACTTAGAAAAATCATAAACTTCCTGTGTCTTATACGGAAGTATCAGTAGGTGTGTTTAAAGTTTTTGAAGAAATAACTTGTAGATTATAACATGCTTTCACTTCCTGCTTAATTCCTTTTTACTGTGGCAAAGTATGTCCTATTTCCTTTTCTAGAGCACGTTTATATTTTCATAAAAGTAAGTGTGTGAATTTATACATTGCAGAGATTTAAAGTAAATTATATGCACTGGGGCTTCAAGAACACTTGAGGTGTACTTTGCTTTATGCTCTTATTTTCTATTATAGTTACCTGTTTACTTAATAGAGGAGTGGAAATAAATGGAAAGTATTGTCCACTTAATAAAGTTTATCTGCAGTCTGGGAGTAGATGCTAGCAGCCTCTTGGATAATTTTTTACTGCAGCATTTTGGAACTTTTCAAGCAGAGAAACATTTTGGTGCATAGTTTATATTATAAACATGTTCCAGTATAGGAATATTACAATGAAAGACATTGAAAGGTTGACACTTAGAACATACAAAACATTCTATTTGTTAATGCCTTTTTTAATGGGCTAGTTTTGACCTGTTAATTTCACAATCCACTAAAGGTTTTAGATCCACCGTTTGTAAAACAGTAACCTAGGAACAGAATTATGAAATCTGATGCAGTAATTCTTTTTAGGTTTTCCTTCATGGTAGTCCTTTCAAAATGTTTGTGATTTGTGTCTAGAAAAAAATAGGTCTTACACTAGAAGGACAAACATGATCCACAAGTTATATTTGAGATTTAAAAAATTTTTTAAATTTAAAACATTCTGTCTGAATTGATTTGCCTGTGAACAAGTATATTTGCTCAAGGAAATATTTCCTCAAGTAGTTTAGTTTACCTGTAAATTTTGAACAGAGCTCTTAATTGAAAAACGTGGATAAAATCCATCTAAATTATAAGTTTATACTCATTTTGCTTTTATACTTTGTGCAGAAAAGTTTTATTCTTGTTTAAAATAATTTAATTATATTAAACTCATGTTTTATTTGCTGTTATTTGTCTTTAATTGTGTATCTGTGATTTGGTTTTGAAAGGGGAAAATTTTTTTGTACGAATATTTCACCAAATATTTTTACAGGGACACTTAGTCTGCCTGGATGAACCAGCTTTGGGAGCTGGGCAAGAAGCTCTGCTTAAACAAGAGCAAGCAAAAATCATTCGATTCCAGAGACAAGCAGAAGAGTTCCTCAATGCAGTCTTTTATAGAAAAGGTTGGTTTCAGTGAAGAATGACATTTAGCATCTTCTAGTCTGATATTTATCTCCTTAAATTCTATGTCATTTAAAAAATTGTTCTTAAAAATATTTTTTTTATTAATGATACACTTTATATTTTTCTACTGTATTTCTTGATAATGTTAAATTTGGAATAGAGTTAAGACAACTGTCCGTTCACCTTTAGTTTTGAGGTGGTGATGAACTTTACATAGTTCAGAAAAATTATCATGAAACTGAAAATGTTAAGTTCTTAGGAATTCTGTGTTTTAAATATAAAGTGACTTTAAATCAATAATAACTATAAAATTTCAGGAATTTCAACGTGATATTTTATTTGGAGAAAAAATATAGTTCTATCTTACAGTTAATATTTGTAAGCATTTTCTCCTTCATATAATCATATTTCACTAAATTTTTTTAAATCGGTAAAATTAGGGTAATAAACTCATAGTAAAACTTGTCACCATACATTTCAGGTGGCATTTAATAGCTCTACCTCTGGGGTTTTTCCATTTTATCTTTTTCTTTTAAAGTTGTGTGGGCTTAACATTTCTGATTTTGGTTTTGTTTTGTTTTTTGTCTGTTTTATTTATTAACTGTTACTATTGCTGTTGTTGGTGCTGCTATTATTACTTGCATAATAGGGATTGAACCCAGGGCCTTGCACATGCTAGACAAGCACTTTACCACAGAGCGACATCCCAAGTTGCCCCATTCCTCCTTTTTCCTCCTTTTTGCTACTGGGTCTTGCAAAGTTACTCAGGCTGGTCTTCAACTTGCAATCCTCCTGCAGCCACCACACCTGGCTACATTTCTTTTAAAAAGTAAAGAGGCCTCTCTAGTCAGTGTTTTAGGACTTAGAAATTCTTCATGGAGACATTCATTTCTTTCCTCTATACATAAGGCATGATTACTGTTAGCCATTAGTAAAGTTCCCTTCACTATCCATTCCAGTGAAGAGTTTTTTACTTTTCAAAAAATTATTTCTTAGTGGATTTGTATTCCTAAGTTAGACTTTTCTTCTAGTTCCAAGATAGAGATTATTAATAAGATTCTTTAAAAGTTTTGTACAAACCCCTGATAATCTTGAATGTTCAAGTGATCTCATTTTCTTTAATATGTCTTCCTATATTCTAGTTACACTTTCCATTCTCCTGGGTATTTCCTTTCTGAAAGGTATATTTTGATAGTACCCTGTTTAAGTCAGATTCTGATTAGTTGGTTACATTCAGATAACAGCTGCACTTCTGCTTCATGTGATGAGTATTCTCGAAAAATGGTGTGAGGTGAAATATCACACCAAATTAAGAAATGCACAGATTATTGTTTTGGGGACATATTGCTGTTTGTCTTTTCTTCCATTAGATCTCTAGGCAAAATCTCATGTTTTAGTATATCCTTACTTAACTACTGGTATCCTCTGGCTTAAGTCTCCCACCTGAGTCTCCCAGGCTCACCTTATCATTTAAAGGGCCCTGGATTCCAAAATTATGTTCGAAGTAGTCATTTCCTTATTTTTATGAACATATGATTGTTTTATTAAAATAATTCATGTTTAAGGTGCAAATGACTGGTAGGTTAGGTCTGTCAGTTTAACTAAATATCTTTATAGCTCCACTCCTTTGGAAAATATACAGTCATTAATCTGGCATGTTATTATAAAAAGCTTTGTTACTTGAGGGCCTGGGAATTTAGCTCAGTGGTTTCGCTGCCTGCTGTACAGGCGCAAGGACCTGAGTTCGATCTCCGGAAACCCCCCCCCCCCAAAAAGCTTTGTTACTTGAAAAGCACTATTCTCCCTAATTTACAAAGTGTGATCGAACCATACAGTGAGTGTTTAAATTTTTTGAAGTATTACAATAAAAGGCATTGCCATTAAACCCCTCAGAATACTCTCCCTTGCTTCAAACACATGTATTCCATCGCTCTTGCCACTTTCTGAAGCAGTTCTGGAAGTCCTCTTTTGCCAATGTCTTCAATTGCTCTCTTGTGGCTATCTCAATGTCTTAAACTGATTCAGAGCATTTACCTTTAACTTTAGCGAAGAGCCAAGGTTGCATGGTGCCAGATCCATGAATAAGGCAGATAAGGACATACTATAATTCTTTTACAAGCCTGCTTTTCCATTGGGTGGCATTTGGCAGCACTGTGTTTTATAATCATACCATATAAAGATAGCCACAGAAGAGGACTTCTAGAACTGATTTAGAAAGTAGCAAGAATGATGGGATAAGTGTGTTCAAATCAAGGGGAACTAATGTCTTTTCCTGCAATAAATTTTTTTAAAAATTAAAAACCATATATTCTGATCATATCATGTACATGGAAAAACCACTTTCATTCTTTCTCTCCCCCAGCCCCACTTCTTTTTGTTTTGTTTTTTTTAATGTAGCTCAGGCTGGCCTCCGACTTGTGGCAATCCTCCTGCCTTAGCCTTCTGAGTGCTGGGATTACAGGCAGGTGTTGCCCAGCCTATTCTTTCTTTAGGAGTTGTTATATAAGGACACTCAGAAATTCTATCTTACTTCTCTCTTAGTCCCATCCCTTTGTGATAGAGAAATGTACTACATTAAAGTTCTTATAAGCTTTATTATTTAGAAGTTAAAACTTTCAGGCATATAACCATTGGTGAGGAATTCTTACCTTGAAATTGGTCTCAAGGTAGATTTTTTTCTCTTTTTTGGGGGGGTTGGTACTGAGGATTGAACTCAGGACCTTGCAGGCAAGCGGCAGAACCACTGAGCTAAATCCCCAACCCTAGATTTGTTTTTTTAAAGTGGGGTTTTACATTTATTAAAGAAAAAGAAATATGCTCTGGAGAGTAAGTGCAGACCAACTAAAGTAGGAAAAGAAATACACTCTGTAGAGTGCAGAACAGGCCACTGAAAGAACTTACAGTGGCCACGAGGTTAATGGCTGCCGTTTTGTATCCTCCACTCTGACGTCAAATCTAGGCTATCATATCAAAAACCTGTTTGATTTCATGCTAGAAGAATCAAAGATGGCTTTCTCTGATTGAACCCAGGTGCAGGGCATAGACACATGTGTCCTGGATATCTACCCCTGATAGGTCATACCCACTTCTTGCCCAGCTGGCTGGCCATGTGCTAATCTCTTACCTCATTTTCCCCTGAGAGACACATTCCCATAATTCTTTATGGGTTGCTGAGGGTGTGGTGGTCTCTCTTCATATAGCTACTTCCAGCTGAAAGAGCTATTGGCCCTACCTACTGGGGATTGTGTTCTCTCCAGCCACCTTGGGATGTTTCCCAGCTGAGCTGGAAAAAAAGTCAGAAGACAGTGAGAAAAGAGTGTCCATATTTAAAGAATTGTTGAACTGCTTGTTCAATGAGAGAAAACTTGGTGAATTTGTCCAGAGAGTCATAGGCTGTAGTCTGGATCACCATCTCAAGCCTTAAATGAATAAACTTTTCTATTAGTTGGGGGTGTAGAGCCCAAATATGAGAAGGAGCAGGTCAGAATATTTCCTGATCTATCTAAAATGGTGGACTATAACAGATGTAGCTAATGAGGATTTCTGTGCTTTCTGTGGAGGAGAAAGTATAGCAAAGAAGGATATTAGATAGACTACAAAGAGACAAACTTGTCACCCTACCTAGCAAGGTTACCCACCTTATGGATCTAAGTAAAAACAGTCATGATACAGGTGCTCATTTAAGCTGTGGTTTAAGGGTCATTAATGACTCTGCCTAGCTGCACTCAGAGCAGTACTGGGGTCTTGCTTTTTGAAGAGGAGCCCCAGGTCTTCTGGAGGTTCACAGGAGGGTGGTCTTTTTTCTTCATACAGTTCATTCAGGTGGGCCTGGATTTATCCTCCTGGTTCACTTTGTCAAAACTATGTTATCAGGGGTTGGGAGTGCCAAGGGATCCTTCTAGAAATTTTGAGATTCTTATCCTAAACAGAGAATTAGTGAAGACAAGCACAAAAGGTAGCAAGGTTTTACATTTATTAAAGGTAGGAATAAAAGGCATGCTTGGCAGAGTGAGTGCAGGACAGTTAAAGGTAGGTAAAGAAGTACATGCTGCAGAGTACAGAGCAGGCCACTGAAAGAGCTTACAGAGTGGTCTTAGGGCAGTTTTTTGGGGGGAAGAAAAGAGTCTCACTATGTAGTTCAGACTGTCCTTGAACTCACTATGGAGCCCAGTCTGGCCTGGAACTCCCAGTGATCCTCTTGCTTCAGCCTCCTAAGTGTGGGGATTACAGGCATGCACCACCACACCCAGCCTCAGGGTAGATTTTTAAGAGATGAGAATCCTTTGAAATTTTAAGTAACTTACCTGTTGATATACTAGCATGGTATTTCCTCAGAATAGGAAAATTCCCCTTCTCTTGCCTTATATATAAATACTGTTTTTAGTTGCTTTATCAGTCCTTTTGGAAGTATCACAAAGATGGATACTTACATTCTTCAAATGAATACTAAAAATGATCTATGTCCAGGGATGATAATAGTCTGAAGAGAATATTTACCATAGGTTGAGTAACCCTTGTCTAAAATGCTTGAGACTAGAAGAGTTTTTTATTTCAGAGTTTTTCAGATTTTGGAATATTTGCACAGACTTCTTCAGTTGAACAAGCATAATTTTAAAATCTAAACCTTTTTGAGTGTCATGTCAACACTGAAACAGATTGGATTTCAGAGCATTTTGGATTTCACATTTTCAGATTAGGGATGTTCAACCTTTAATTCAGATGTTTGGATTTAGCCCTTTGTATCCCAGTATTATATATTGTATATTTTAAGTAATAGTGTGCAGAGCTTTTGGATAGCCAAGTAGAAATGTTGATGCAGTAGAAGTAGGCTTTTAGTAATAGGGACTCTATAACAAATTCTAACTTATAAATAGTACTGTATACCATCTTAATCCAAGTTTTCAGCTTGTTTGGTCACTTGTGTTAAAAAAAATTATATACTTTTCTAAAAGTTAAATTTTCATTTTAAAATATACCAATGGCTGTGATATATTTTTCTGTAGTTTTATTCTGATCTCATTTGTTGATTTCATTTGATTTAATTATACATGTTTCCCCGGGTATGGATATATTTATAAAATTTGTTTCTTAAGACAATGCATTCAAGAAACTTTCAGAAGATACAGAAATTTAAATAGTAGACATGTCATTCATAAAAACTGTGTATTTTTTCTCATGATTATGTTGCTCATTTGGCAAGGAGGCAAGATAATACTGTGGTCATGTAAAGGTAGCAGTTTATGGTCTTCATCCTAAAATCTTTCACTTACCACAAAGTTCTTTAATGGTATGTATTAATACCAAACACAGATATCTCATAAATTATTTCAATTTTTTTCCTGTTCAGAAATTTTCCTCTTTACACTGGACCGTTTACTTATGAACTCAATTTGTTACCAAGGGCTGCTTGTAACTCAAGTTGGTCAGTTGCCTTCAGAGTCTCTCTCCAGTATAACTTTAGGTCACTCTTTCTTCCAGGCAGATCACAGTGTCCTTAGACATTGGCCCAGGATTTCTCAGTTAACCCCGCACAGAAAGGGATATTGTAATGTTCCTTCCAGAACTCTTTAAGGGTTATATCTGTGTCTGAGACCATCTGGAAGCACAAGTGGCCAGCATTCGGATCATAACTCAAGACTTTGGTCATAAGTTAAAACTAAAATTCCGGTTGTAACCCCAGCTTTTCATATGTCAGGCCAGTTGTAACTCAAGAGTCCACTGTATTACATAGTCTCCAGGGAGAAAGGTACCACTAATACATAAAAATGTTATATAATATTTCATATGGGGATTGCATGATATATAGGGAAAAAATGGATCTTAACTAGCAAGTTAAATAACTATTAATGAGAAAATTCATTGGATAGAGATATTTAAAAAGCAATATATGGCTAAAATGTTTACTAAAACATTTGAGCAATTATTGTCAGTGATTGTTGGAACTTCTGAATCTCACCTAGTTATACCTTTTTTCATAAACCTTCCAGACTTAATATAAGGACTTCTTTAGTAAAGAGGAAATTTAGGATTATAAATACTTATTAATAATACAGAAACATTATTATTGATAGAGTAAGCCTTATTAAACTTCAGAGAATTAAATACATACTGTAACTATATCTTCTGATACTTAATATTGACTTTTTTGGGGGAAAGGGGGGAAAATTACTAAGAGTCCTGTGAAGTTTTGTTTAATTTACTTATTACAGACATCTTAGACTTTAATAAAAATAAAAGCCAAATGTGTAACTTTATAAATAGACTGCTTAAGTTCCTCACAGCTCCAAAATACTGTGGATATTTGCCTTTTATAGCTAATCTTTAAAAAAAAAAAAAAGGCCCAAGAAAGCGATGTTTTCTGACAGCTGTATTAATAAAGGACTGAGAGTAGGAGGGCACAGGTCCAGTATTAAAATAAGAGTTTTAGGCCAGGGATTTAGCTCAGTGGTTCCGCTGCTTACCTCTCAAGCACAAGGTCCTGAGTTCAAAAAATAAATACCTAAAATAAGAGTTTTATTTGAGTTTTATCGATAACCATCTACAAATTTATAGAGGCCATTTACACTTTAGATCACAATTTTTGGTCTTTTTTAAAAGGACTATATTTGACTGTTGGATTTATTACTCACATAAATCAAATGCAGATTTTATACCAGGCAAGACTAGGCATACAGAACTAAATAGATAATAGTCTGTGCCCCCAGGAAGCTTCATCTCTGGTGGACTAATGTAATTATAGAGATGTATGAATAATATATTTACACAAGTCATTTTTCTTTTTATCTTACCTCATTTGAATTTTAAGGTCTCTTCCACTTCTATACATTTATGAGTTCATATGGTCTTTATTTTAAGTTTAGCATTGAAACTTAGGTATTTATTTCATTACTTTCTTGGCTGCTCAATTACTAGTTAGCAGAGTATACTGAAAAACTCATGGAGCTGGGCACAGTGGCACATGCCTGCAATCCCACCTACTTGGAAAGCTAAAGCAGGAAGGATCACAAGCTTAAGCCTATTCTCAAAATGAAAAGGGCTGGGGGTGTGATAGAGTGCTCCTGGGTTCGATCTCTAGTACGATTTAAAAAAATAAAGCAAGTATGTGGGTTTTCTCCATCTTTTGAGATTTGGCATTTAAACTCTAGCCCAGGGATTAAAAAATTATGGTTCCCAAACAAGCAGCATCTGATAGCTTCTTAGAAATGCCAGCTCTTGAGCCTCCTCTAGAACTACTGAATTTGGAAACTCTGGGTGTAGGACCCAACAGTATGTTTTTTAAAGGTCCCAAAATGATTCTAATGAACAATTGAAATGTGATGACTACTGTCCTAGCCTGTCATGGATCTTAAAATTATCTCTTTTTACAACCTTGTTATACCATGTGTCTAACAGGCAGAAAATTAAGTACTCATGAACACAGTAACCCATTCTTCAAAGATTTAGGAGGAAATGGTCAAGGAAAAATCTAGGGAAACCCTGATGTGACTGTAGGTGGTAAAAGGGGGGAGTACCTACTTTGTATGAGAAAGGCTTAGGGGTTTCTATATCAGGTAAGTAATTCTTGTCATAAGCTACATACTATGTATTATCCCTTTATTTAATTTCATAATCATAGGGGAGAGATGTTTAGAAATATTTTTATGAAAAATTTCAGAAATCTAGAACTTAAAAGCGTAGAGATTGAAAATATAAATCAAATGGGGATAATTTTAGGATATTGCATAAATAATGAAATCTTATGTTTTCTTGAAAGGTGTTTTCTTTTTTTAAGTACATTGTCCCACTTTAAAAGTAAATAAATCTTTGTTTACAGACAGTCCCTGGGTCTCCGACCCCAATATTCCCCTAGTGGCCCGTGAGATCATGCAGCGAATGATCCAACAATTTGCTGCTGAATATACCTCAAAAAATAGCTCTACTCAGGACCCCAGCCAGCCCAATAGCACAAAGAACCAAAGCCTGCCGAAAGCATCTCCAGTCACCACCTCTCCCACGGCTGCAACTGCTAAGAACCCTGTGCTCAGCAAACTTCTCATGGCTGACCAAGACTCACCTCTGGATCTTACTGTCAGAAAGTCTCAGTCAGAACCTAGTGAACAAGGTATGGTTTAATGTTATGCTCCTGTATCCAATCAGAAAACTTTAATCTGCAGAGAAAAAAATATTGGCTAGTAGGGCACCAGCAGCAATAATAAGATTAAAAACTAACATGATTCTAGTCAGGTGTGGTCAGTGCACACCAATCCTCACAGCTACTTGGGAGGCTAAGGAGGATCACATGCACCCAAGAGTTCGAGGCCAGCCTCGGCAACACAGCAAGACCATGTGTCTTAAAAAGAAAAGAAAAGAAAAAAAAAAACCTAATGTAATTCTTAAATTATTTCTGTCCATGCGTGGTGGAAAAGTACTGATGAAGTCATTAAACCTTATCCATCAGTAGTTAATAGCCATGACTAATGTGTTTCACTCAGGGAAATCAGGTAGTTGGTTGTTACTAAACTTTTAAGTTCCATATTTTTGTGAGCATTTTCCACTTTCTAAATTATATCCATTTTTTAAAAGCACCTATGAAAAAGTAAGTTTATGTCTTTATCCTCAGTGTTCTAAAATTAGTACCTACCCAAGAAATATGCTTTTACTTAAGTTGAAGTTATACTTGGAAATGAGATCAAAAGGAAGAGTATATTTTGTATGTTTTATTTGCAGTTTAAGAAAAAAAAATACCAGGGTAAGAAAAGAAAGTAGAAGCCAGGCATGGTAGCACATACCTGTAATCCCAGCACCCATGAGGCTGAGGCAGGAGGATTGCCATGAGTTTGAAGCCAGCCTGGACTATGTAGTGAGCTCAAGACAGAAAGTAGAACACATTATAGCTTATTAAATGTTTTATAAATATAGAAACAAATACATATACACATGTATTGTTTTATGAACTAACCTTGAAGTATTTTCAAGTTGGAATTTGTTAGTGAGAATCCAAATTAGTGAAAAGTTTGAGGTTATCAGTTCCTTTTAGCAAAAATTTGAGTCTCTGAAGTTTAGTTTAAGTAAATTAAGTATTCCTGTTGCTTTGTGATCTCCTTTCACTTTCATTTCACAAAAATGAAGTATTTCACCCCACCCACTGTTGAACCTCTATAAATAATTATAAGTTGGTGATATCTGCAGTAATGAGATTTTATTGTCATAGAAATCTCAAGATTATGAAATATATGAATTTATTGGTGTTAAATATATTTTTATTTTGAAAAGAAAATGTAATTCTTAACCTCTTTGAAAGGACTTTTTCTAAAAGTACTGTATAAAGGTTTTACATTCAATGACTGGCTTTAGTTTCTTATTGAAGAATATACAGTAATCTTAGAGTAGCGCCCCCTCCCCCCAGTCCCTGTTTGGGTGTGGTGAACAGCAAACACATTACATAAATTCCAAGAGATTTCCCAGTAGGTGGTCTCCTAGATCCCTGATCACATTGATCTTGGTACTTTTGGTTCATTCATATTTGCAGAGTTGTGTCTTTATAGAGTTTTATTGAGGATTGTTTTCCTTGGCACAAATTGGTAGTTTTGGGCCAGGGATTTAGCTCAGTGGTTTTGCCGCCTGCTGCATAAGCGCAAGGACCCAAGTTCGATCCCTGGTACCAAAAAAAAAAAAAAAAACAAACCAAACCAACAAACATTGGTAGTTTTCATTAAAAATCTCTTTGTTCTAAATACTGCAGTAAGCTGGGTGTGGTGGTGCACTCCTGTAATCCTATTACTCAGGAGGCTGCAGCAGGAGGATCACTGCCAGTGAGGCCAGCCAGTTTGAGTTCGGGAATAATTTAAGAACTACATTAGGTGTTTTGTTTTTTTCTTTTAAAGAGACGTGATCTTGCTGTGCTGTCTAGCCTCGGCTAGTTAGTGGGTTCAAGGCCAGCCTGAAATACGTAGGGAGTCTCTTGTCTCAATAAATAAATAAATACATGCATACATACAGAGTAAGTGTTGCATCAAAAGCTTCTGGTTTATACTAGGAAAAAGCAGCAGAAAGGTGTTTTTAATAGTAATGGAGTTCAACATAGTGATTCCACTTAGTCGAGTTTAACTTCTTATAGCCAGTGTTACACTTAAACAGGTATGTTGTGTTGACAACATTCTCTTAACAAGAGAAAGTTGAACCATGTGACGGCATTATAACGTATAGACTTCAAATGAAACAAAAACATTTGAAATAGTTCCTTAGTGAATTTTAGGGTTTTTAGCTTGTCACAGTATTTTAGTAATAAGTTTCCTATTTGATAAGACAAATTGCCCTTCTGATAAAAGTCTGTAGACATTACTACTGGTTTTGGTTGGAGATGCCTTAAGCAGTACATTTATTCTTCAGGTGTCTAATTGGGCTAGATGTCTAGTAGAATGCTTGGTTGTATAAGATTACAATTCTGTTTGTAGAAGTATTTAATGACTCTAAAAAAGGCAAAACTTTTCTATATGAGAGTGAACTTTTTTTATTTATAAATTCCTTACATATTTATTTCTAACCACCTGAAATCAAGTTACAATGTTCTCAGGCACAAGTTAGTAGGTTCTTTCCTGGGTTGATAAATTGACATAACTAGACAGCAAGACCTTTCTGCTAGCCATCTGAAAATGAGAGTTATTGCATTTATTTTGCTTTGTTAATTTTGGGCACAGCTTTAAAACGTCCAGACCAATGGGCATGATGATACATGCCTATAATCCCAGCACTCTAGGAGAAGTGCTGGGTTTCTCCTGAAATATGAGAATGGCAAATTCATGTGCAGCCTAGGCAGCCTAGTGACTTATTGAGAACCCTGTCTCAAAATGAAGAAAGAGCCAGGGATGTAGCTCAGTGAGACTGAGACACAGGGGATTGCAAGTTTGTGCCGGTCCTGGGAATTTAGTTATGTATCGAGACCCTGTCTTAAAAGAGAATTCAGGCTACAGCTCAGTGCCAAGACTCTGTGTTCAGTTCTAAGTACCACAAAAAATCTCTAGACAATGAGATTTCTTTCTAGATATGTTTATAAGGGGGAAAAATATCTTTGAGGGGATAAAGTCTTCTAATTTTATGTGTTAATAAAATGAATTTGTGATTAGTGTGACTCTTAGGTTACATTTTCAAGCTCTTACCTGTTTCAAGACTATTTCATTCTTCTTTCCTTTAATGTTGCCCATCAATTTTGATACCTTCTTAAATTAAAAACATGCCATTATAAATTTCAGCATTTGAATTTTAAATCTCTGTAAATTTTTTTTTGAAAGATTGACTCCACATAACACTTTTGCAGCTATGTCCAAGAAATAATTTGGATGCACACAAATTATAAACCATTAACAACTGATTCATCTTACTATATACATGTAATTTAATCATATAAACTCATAATTTTAAAATTTTTGTCTTAAATTATTCTACATTCAAATTTATGTACTTTTGGGTTTCAGGTAGATTTAAGTCTTGAGGAATTTGGCTTATAGTTTGTATGACATTGTGGGGCTGTAAAAACTCATATTTGAATCATATTAAATTAGAAAATGAAATCTAATAAGTTCTAGAGCAGAATCTCATTCAGTGTAAATTGCAACTTTCAGTATCTCACTTGCTTTATCTTATCATCTTCTATAACATCTCTTAGCTTTTCTTTTGACCTATTAATAAATTTTTTTTTTTTTTGTACCGGGGATCGAACTCAGGTCCTTCCGCTTGCGAGGCAGGCAGCAGAACCACTGAGCTAAATCCCCAGCCCTATAAAATATTTAATCCTTGGAGAAATGGATGTATGATGCTTTGCTAAAGTTTGTATTGCTTCAGGAAGAAAAATATCTTGATTTTATATTGAACTTAATACCTGAAATATATGATGAGAATATTTGCTTAGTTGAGTAGGCTATGGCTTTTTCATTTTTAGCCTATTGAGTTCACGTTTGCTCCAGTTTTTAATATCATCAGATGTTTCTTTGTGTCTCTACAGACGGTGTACTTGACCTTTCCACTAAGAAAAGTCCATGTGCTGGCAGCACTTCCCTGAGCCATTCTCCAGGCTGCTCAAGTACTCAAGGGAACGGGTAAGGGAAAATATTTGTAGCCTTCCACAGTTTTATTCAGATAATTCATCATAGATTGATGCTAGTCTCCCCTGTATTGTACAAAAGACCTGCCTACAGGCTTTTGTAAAATAACTTCTAGTCCATCAGTCAACTAAAAATATATTAGTGAAAGCTAGAATTGGCTAGAACAGACCAGTTTTGCTCGTTTAATACTAATCATGAATGTGGTAAGAATATGTCATTGGGCTTTTTGTTGTTGAGTGTTCTGGATTGTGAAACTCAAGCTAAATGATTCTGAAGTTTAGATGTAAAGGCAGTAGTATTATGTGTGCTGAAGTTGTTGACTGAAAATTGAACTCCATGTTTTACTTGGTATCTATAGTAGGGTTTGTCTTCGTGTTTATTTTTGTTTTCATTTGGTTTTGGCTGTTATTTTGAACTGCAGTTGTAATTCTGGCAGTTCAGAAAAATATAGGTAGGGGTGGGTGTGTGTGTGTGTGTGTGTGTGTGTTTAAATATAAGATTGGTTGTGGATGTTGGCAAGACATCTTATGCTGCCAAGATACGATTGCATACTCAGTTTGATAACTTAGCAAATTAAAGTGAATTCTCTGACCACCTAATTTTATAGTGTAAGAATTGTCTTCATTCTCCCTGTGTGTATTTAGTAACCATTTAGAAAAATCAAGAATTAATGAAGATATTTAGACATATATTTAGACAATGAAGATAATAGAATACTGTTCTAACCAAAGAATAATTTTATGTAGATATGAAAATAACTGGTAAGCTTAAGTTAATATTTAACTTATTAGAATACCAAATGGGGAAGTTATTTAGATATTAAAGGAACAAGTGGACAGTAAATGGATTAACCTTTTCCAACTTACTCTTAAGTTACCTTCAAACTGGAGCATTCCCTTACTGGCTTCTAAAATGCCCCTTTTATTTTCTCTTAAAATTGCATCATTTTCTTCTTCCTCCCCTTTTCTGTTTAACCTAGAAGTATTAATTTAATCTATTTTGCACAATTTACTAATTTTTGTTTTTAACCCTTCTTCTCATTGTGGTTTATATTAAATACAAGTTGCCGTGGTTCCAAGTCACTGGATTCCACTTCTAAATCAGAAACACTTGAGTTGTGTAATGAAGGATACATGTAGTAGAAGCCCAAGTATAGTTTGCATAAATGAATCCCTTGCTTAAAATTCGCCTTAATTTTGACTAGCAGGCCCTTGTATTACATGGTTGAGGTTGCTGTGTTATTCCTCTGATTGGGAAGTGTTGTTTTCTACTTGGTTTTGCTTTATGGACGACAGATGTACCAGCAGTATTGTACCCATCTTTGAGTTGAGTATTCAGTGTTATCCTTATTGTATTAATGATAACAGTAGTCCCTGTAGAGTTTTGGAGAACATAGCTGGTTTGACATTGTTTCTGCAGAGTTCTACTTGGAGGCCCCATTAATGTAACCATTCCCCTTGGGCATTGCTTTGCCAGTTGCCAGTCCTAAAATTGATAACTTTTCTCTTATGAAAATGAAAACTATATGAATTCATTTTATGTGAGTAGTTGAGTTTTTGAAACTATTTCAAAGCTATCCATGTGAAATTTCAAAATAGACTTTTAGTATTTTGAGAAGTTTTTCTTAGACAAAACCGCCACAAAATTGTTTATCTCTAACAATACTCTAGTAGAACCTAAGGAACAAAGTTTTGGTGAAAATAGAAGAGTAATTACTTTTAAGCTTGAGTCACTCAAGTTAACAAATGGAAAATCATGATACTCAGTGTGTTTTAAAAGGAAGGAGTATGGTAAGTTAAAATGCTGTGGCTCTTTTGATTTCTTTCGGTTTGGTGTTTTTTCCCCCATTGGGGCTGATTTTTTCCCAAATAAAATAAATGTTATCTGGAATTGATTTTTACGGTCAGTATCAACTTGTTTGTGGGATAAGTGAACATTATCAGTGGGTTCCAACAGTGTAAGTGGTTCAGTTTAGTAGCTAGTTGTCATGAATGTTGAATACATTGCATTAAAATAATTTGGCTTACTCTTTTATTATTGTACTTGTTTAGTGGTAACGTCACGTTGGTAACACAATTCTGTATAGATCTTTGGAGACTGATGATTACTTTGTAATTAATAATTAAGGTGCTATTTTCAGACAGTTGCGCGAAACTTTTTCTCCGAAAATTTGTGAACCCAACCAGAGACCAGCCAACAGGTTTAATTTTTCTTTGCCCAAATGCTCCTGGTTTTTGTTTTTGTTTTTTTCTTTTTCTTTTTGTGAACAAGTTTTAAAACTAACTGCTGAGACTATTTTTTTTAATTTTTAGAGAAAAATAAATAAATAACACAAAGTGATGTTACCCAAGCAAGGCCTTCTAATAAAGGAGTGGTCCCCTCACCCATCCCTCCCTACCTGTGCAAGTCCTGCTCACATCAGTTTCCTTCCATTCAATTAGGCGACCTGGGAGACCCAGCCAGTACCGCCCAGACGGACTTCGGAGTGGTGATGGGGTACCTCCAAGAAGCTTACAGGATGGAACCAGGGAAGGTTTTGGACACTCTACATCACTCAAAGTTCCACTGGCTCGATCCCTGCAAATTAGTGAAGAACTACTGAGCAGAAACCAATTGTCCTCAGCTGCCAGCCTTGGGCCATCTGGATTACAGAATCATGGACAACACTTAATATTATCCAGGGAAGCCTCTTGGGCAAAGCCACATTATGAATTCAACCTCAACCGTATGAAGTTCAGGGGAAATGGTGCACTCAGCAACATCAGTGACCTTCCTTTTCTTGCAGAAAACTCTGCCTTTTCAAAAATGGCACTTCAAGCAAAACAAGATGGAAAAAAGGATGTGAGCCATTCATCTCCTGTAGATTTAAAGATACCACAAGTTCGAGGAATGGATCTTTCTTGGGAATCTCGCACTGGTGATCAGTACAGCTATAGCTCTTTGGTAATGGGTTCACAAACGGAGAGCGCGCTTAGTAAAAAATTAAGGGCTATTCTTCCAAAACAAAATAGAAAAAGCATGTTAGATGCTGGACCTGATTCTTGGGGCTCAGATGCTGAGCAGTCTACCTCTGGACAGCCATATCCCACATCGGATCAAGAAGGAGACCCTGGCTCCAAGCAGCCTCGGAAGAAAAGAGGGCGTTACAGACAGTACAACAGTGAGATACTGGAGGAAGCAATCTCAGTGGTTATGAGTGGAAAAATGAGTGTTTCCAAAGCTCAGAGTATTTATGGGATTCCCCACAGTACACTGGAGTACAAAGTAAAGGAGAGGCTGGGCACTTTGAAAAACCCTCCAAAGAAAAAGATGAAATTAATGAGGTCGGAGGGGCCAGATGTTTCTGTAAAGATTGAATTAGATCCCCAGGGAGAGGCAGCACAAAGTGCAAATGAATCAAAAAACGAGTAGAAATTCTGTAGAGTGCCAATTACTGTACAAACTGGGTGAGCACTACTGCATCATTGTTCAGCTGTCATTGCTTGCACCTAATTTCATTACTGTGACACTTGTTTCTTTGCAGATTTTGCATTGACTTGTGTGTACAGAGGTGAAAGGTGCATTCTGAATGTTGCATATTTTTAAATTTTCATGTGCAGTATGGCTCGGAATATTGTTTAGCCTTTTGCATGTTTCTCTACAAAAGAGAATTGACTTACCTCACAGAACAGATTCATGGAAGTGGACTCCTTGCCTGTAGAGCCTGCATGCTTTCTCCCCCACCCCCTTAAGTTATGTTTGCCTTTACTTTAAAAAAAAAAAAAAAAAAGAAGAAGAAGAAGAGGAGAAGCCAAGCCCCCATTTTTAAAAAAAACTTCACCTCTGTCCTACTGGGAGCTTTATCAATACAAATTGGAAAGCCATTTTAAAAAATTGTTCACATTTTTTTCTTCTGTAATTCAACTGATTGAAGGATTTAAAAAATTAACAATGAACCTTTGAATTTAAAATTTTTGGTCATTGAATGATAAATACTTATTTGGGTCATTTATAATTAGACCTTATAATTTTATTCTCACTATTAAATTTAATTAATAGTTTAGCATTTTATTTAGTGCTCACCCAGAGGGGAAGGAGGTAGGAAATGTGCACACACTACCTTCAGAAATGCTTCAGTTAATTACTTTGAACACTACCTTCGCTGAAATTTTGTTTAAGATTAAGGATAGAATTTGGTCTCACCAACAAGTGAGGATATAGCCTTATCTCATGGAGGACGAGCTCCCTTCTTACTCAGGAGCAGTCAGGGTACAGTACATAAAACAATGGAGGATGCCTCATTTTAATAAACTAGTTTTCTTTGTAATTTCCAGTCTCTTTACAAAATTGATTATATGCTAACAATTGAATATTGTTAACAGCAACTAGTTTAAGTTATTTAAGATTTGTTTGGGGGTGGCAAGAATAGGGAAAGAAATGCTTATAGAGAATTATGTTTCAGAAATGATACTTAGGTTTTACATCCTCAATAGTCTACCCATTATCCACATTGAAGAAGGATCTAAGTTTGTAGTAAGAGAAAAAATACAGTCCCAAGGTAACCTGATATGATTTAGGTTGCTTATCTGTTCTAAAAATAGTTTAGTCAGGAGTTAAGCTCATTGGAATGTCTTCTCTAATCCAAATGTTAGTACAAGGATGGGAGAGCTGGTTTTTGGTTTTTAGTTTTGTTGATTTGAATTTTTGTTTTCTTGGCATCCTGCATAATATTCCCTTCTTAACTTTTTCTGATAGCTGTTATTCATGGTTGATTAGCACACATTTCAGGACTTTTGAGATCATGTTTGTATAAGCACTCCTTGAAGAGCATCTAGGCTTTTTTTGAGATGGGCTTGAAAATTATAGTGATTAAGTTTCAATAGCTTGTTTTCCACAGTTTTTGTATGAGTTACTGATAAAGCCCATGAAGTTTTTTTATTGTGATCAAATTAAAATTATTTGTACAGAGCAAAGTGCACACACCATATCCACCCTGTACTCTCATCTGCTGAGAA